AGAAAATGAATATTTGCATTTAATATTATGCAAAAATATAAATATTTATAATTATAAATAAATAATAATAAAATTATTTTAATCATATAAATATAAAAATTTATAATATTAAATATTCAACAATTACATGACAAATAAAAGAACTATACATATAAATAGTAAAGAATAATAATTGTAAGAAATCATACATATAAATTATTTGAATAAAATATGCTTTCATAGTATAAAAAAATAATTCCATTAATTTAAATAATCTTGTTTTTGAAAAAAATTTATATTAACTTTATTAAATAAAATAAAAAATTGTAGAACACAATAGATGTAAGAATATTATGTGAATATTATGACAATTTATAATATTAATATAATATTTATGCAATAATATTAATAATTTAACATGTCTTGAATAGCACAATAATAATCATGTACTTTTTTATATTATTAAGTTTCATATTAAATTATATAATAATTTTTTACAATAAAATATAGTTAATTAATGAAAAATTTAATTTAAAAAATAAATGCACTTTCTTTAAAACTATTTTATATTAATCTATGATATAATTCATAAATTAACATATTTTTTTAACAATTCATAAGTTAACATAAATTACATTTAATTTTCATTTATGTTAACAATCATATAACAATACAACAAATAATTTTTGGTCGATGCATTTTTTATACATTTCAAATAATATAATGAATTTATGTTTATTTTATATGTATATTTATATAATTTAAATAATTTATCATTTACAATTTATTACGATATAAATAATAATTTTTTTTTATGTATTTTCTTTTAGTATGATCTGTATTATAATATGTGTATTATATATAAAATATGTGAATAGTAGAAATCTCCATATTTATTTTAATTTACAACTTTTTATTTATTAAGCCAAAAAAAATATATATATATTTAGTCGGTGCATAAAATGTTTAATTGTCGAAATTGTGTATATTGCAAATATATTACAAGTAAATTTCGTTTTGATAATATTTTTAAATTATTAATAGATCGATATATTTATATCTTTTAAATATTAAATAAATATTTTTTTATTGATTTCTTAATGATTATAAATCATTAAAAAATGTATTTCTTAAAAAAATATTACACATAATTCTAGAAATAGTATTTTGCATTTTGATTAATCAAGATATTCTTATAATTATATTATGATATTAATTCTATTTTCTATATCAATTTATAATAATTGTATTATATATACATGTATGTTCTAATATATGTATATACAAATATGTTTTTTGTTATAGAAAAATAGGAAAATGAAATTATATCTTAAATATGTTAATAAAATGATTTTGTTAACATTATTTGATTAATAGATATTTAGTTATTATTTCCTTTCTTTGATAGTAAATATTTTGTTATATTATTTCTTTACTAGAAAAGTCAATTGATAAAAAGATTATTATTTTCAATTTTACGATACTTTTCAAAAATATTCAAATATTTTTTATATTTTCATGTTTAAAAATTGAATGTATTTAAAATACTATCATATTATATTTTTTATCATATGATATACGACTCAAATTCCAAATGAAATTGCTATTTATGTTCTGATCCTTTCATTAGTTAAAGAACAATTTTTCAATTACAATTGATAAAAGTACCATTTTCACGAAAAAACAAATATTAGCTTTTTCGTTATGTGATGGCTTTCATAACATTAACACCCATCGATTGCTAGGATTCTATACCAAGTTTTCTATAAGTTTCCCGATCTACTGTAACTAATCTGCCTTCTACGCTTGAACAATCCAATTCGATACAGTGTAATCTAGCACCCCATTCACAATGGCTTTGATCATCTTGACGGTAGTATTTGATTTGCAGGCAAGTAGTAAGGTAACCGGAACCCAAGACACGCATAGCTATTGGCAATTCTTCACGATGTCCACGAGCACTTGCCGGTATACCTTTCGTGCTATGATAAGCACTGTAAGCGCAGGCTGTTCCGTCCCGTGCACGCTCAATTGTTTCCACTTGTTTACCTCCTATGCTGAGGGACCTATAAGTTCAAAGATTATTATTTAGGTAAGTTTCATAGTGTTATACTATTATAATAGAATAAAAATAATATAAAAGATATTTAAATATCAATATTAAAGACTTTGTTAAAATTTTCTTAATTTAAGAATTTTATTAAATTTCTAATATTAATTTATTTATTCTATTTTAAATCTATGTTTTAAATTTTGATTTCTTATATTATTGTTTTTATTTTTCTAAAAATAATACTAAAAAAAAGAAAAAAATTGTTAGGTTCTATAAAAAAAGAAAAATAACGGATAATTTAAAAACTAAAAGGTTAATCGAATCGAACGTTTTTTAGTTTCAATTGTAAGCAAGCATCGAAGCGATTTATTGATCGCAAATCGATAGTCACGTCCGCGTCGACAGAATCGTGCTTCAAATGCATTTGCATCCTCGACCAGGTATTTGAGATTCTGAATCTCGTTTCTATTATGCATCATCTAGCACGTATATACTGTAGTTATTCACAAAATAGTTGCAAAATTTTAATATGTTATAAATTATTAAATTTTAATTTCATATCTTTCTTTATTATTATTATTTTCATATTATACAGAAAATGTGTTATAGTGAAACAGAAAGTTATAGGTTAATATTTTGAATATATAAATAGTTATATATAAATAAATTGATTTTATAAAATGCATGTATTGTAATAAGAAAGAAAATAATTAAACAATGAAATATCATAAAAGTACTTTTATATTTAATTAAAATACATTGATTTTATTGCAAATCTTCTAGTATTATAAATAATAAAAATTGTCTTTTCTATTTAAAAGTTTTCTATTAAACTTTTCTATTAAAAGTTGTCTTTTGTATTTAAATATTTTTAAGATTGTTTCTGTTTTATATTTTGCTTATTCGATAAATAATTTTCTAATTATATGTACATATTTACAGGACTATTTATTATCATTATTTTCTATATTTTTAATTTGATTATATAATATATATATAATAAAATTTATGCGCATTTTAAATTAAAAATCAAAAACAAAATATATAAAATTTTGAGCAATCAATAGAATGCGAAATCAATCTTACTAATATTGTATTCCAATTCTTATTATAATTATATAATATTCATATTTTAGAAAGAACTTCAAATCGAAAATAAAATATACAACATATCAATTTGTAAAAAAAAAAATTATCATTGAAATTATAAAATTTAAAGAAGAAATTCAATTTTATTAAATTGAAATTATATTTTCTATCTTTAATCGTACAATATTTACAATAAATTTTATATTTTCGAATTCCAATAAAATTAGCTTTTATGTTGAAGAATTCGATTGTTTAAATCGATATACTTATCGATTAGATATTCAAAGACGCTTTTAAATATTTAAATGATAATATTATATAAATTCGAAACAAAATTGTGAAGTTGAAATTCATATTTGCGGCACATTACTTTCCAATATATACTATGTAACTTCTAAAAATAAAAGTACACGAGCGATTGTAGTAAAAATAAAAAGGAAATAAAAAAATGAACAGAAGACGAGAATTTTTTAAGACAATGCATTTGGATCAATATCCTAATATCGATCAATTGCAATCATAGAATTGAAATAGTCGATGAATATCGATTCAAATATCCGATATATACTTGTTCATAAATCTTAGAATATTTATAAAAATTGAAAATTATAAAAACCTTTAATAATTATAATCTCTTTTGAATTTTAAGGAAACTATATTATATTCAATATGCATGATAAAATTATCAACAATTAGGTATGTATAACTAAATTAAAATTATTTTGTTATATGATTTTTATTACATTTTTTTTTATTTTTAGTTTCATTAATAATGATATAAGATGAAGAATTCATATCCAGCAAATTTTTTTATGATTATAAATAAAGATTAGATTTAAATGAAGACTAAATTAGAGATAGCAAATATATAATATATAATATATAATTATATATAATAAATATATAATATATAATTATTCATTATTTTTGTATAATTACATAAATAATTTTTGTAAGAAAAACTAAAAATTTTATAATGCAAGTTATTTTCTATTTTATACTTCACAAAGATGATTACAACATTCTAATTTCAATAAGAATATTAAAATTATATCATTTTATATCAAATCAGATATTCTCATATTTATAAATGAAAATATACGTATTGAAAAAAAGCTTTTCGATAGTGAATTACGAATAATCTAAAAACATACATATAATCGATTAATACAATTTTGTTATTATTCGTGAAAAATATAAAAAATTATGAATCGTAAGTATCAATTTTTCTTATTTTTTTTCGATGAGAATATTCGAAGAATCTTGAGACTTTTTTACTATGAAAACAATAATCCTGTGTCAAATGTTTATTAATATATCAAAAGGAATCAGATCTTTATAGTAAAAATTTTTATTAATTACAAAAATCCATAGTATCGTATTTTTTGATATTAAAAAAAAATTCTGCAGGATACAAACGAAGCTGATAAGATTTAAAGTGAACGATTAAGAACGATTGCGGTGAAAGTAGGAAAAGGAGTGCGATGCAAAAATAGATGTGATGGAGATACGTCCGATTGATAACAAACAATAGAATATAAAAAAATTCTTGATTTCGGAATATGCAAATGTGGAGAGTCATAATGTATTACAAAATAAAAATGCAAAATATTTTTGATTAATTTTCAATATCGAAATTCGTTCGTAATTAATTCGACAATTTAAAATCAACTCTTATTGCTATGTAATTCAAAGTTTTACGCGTCAAGTAAAAAATTGTTTATTTTAATAATCATAATATCAGATTTCCAGATTTCATAGAATTATTTCTTCAAGTTACAAATTTGTAGATGTAAGTTGCATTTGATACATTACATCATGAAATCTAGATGTTAATATATAATATCGTAATATCTTTCAGCATAGTCATTTCATTATGAGTCATTTTAAATATGTTGTTCGCAATGATGTTAATCTATTTTGTTCGCTGATGTTTCAGCGGACATGTTTCTTTTCTTTTTTTTCAATTGAATAAAAATGATGACAAAAAAAACATATTCTTCTAATAAATAATTCTTTCAATTGAACAGTATAATTCTTCTATTTTTCACGAAACTTTGTTCCATGTTTATCATTTCTTTTCTAATATGGACCAATTTTTTATAATTTGTAAAACAAAGTATTCGTTTAATATATTTAAGTTTATATTATGTTTTGTGTAACTAGCAAATTTAGAAGATTATAGAATATACACTTAATGTTAGATAAGATTCATCATTTTTATAAATCTCTGATTTAAAGTAGAAAGCTTTATCATCCTTGCGTTTACTTTTTTCTTAACAGTTTTCTTTATCACGATATTACATAAGTGACAATAATGAAATATCTTATTGATAGCATCATATAAGCAATATTATATATTTCTTTCAGGGAAAATCGAGTGATCTTATACTGTCTTTCATCTTTCTCCTCTTGGCTATTAGCACATCTATGTATCTGAGTTATCAAGACTTCTTCTTCCGAACAGGTGAGATGATCACTTGATAGATATAAAAAAAAAATTTTTATGCAAACTAGAACTTTATATGATCGACTTCCTCGTAGGCTGATAAAGTCAATGATGAAGCCTAATATAATTGATTCTCATTATGCCAGTGAATATCTCATCATCTACTAGTATAATTGATATGATACTAATCCTTAGTAGGATATTATAATAACTGAAAAATTTTATCTTAAAAAAACTATAGGAATCAATGTTATAATATGAAATATTTCGTTTACGTATAATATCGTATGAACAAAATCATGATGGCAAAATGTCTTGTCTAATAGTAATGCATAAACGATGGTATCGTGGTATCGAGATATCTCATCCATAATCATGAAAGAGAAGGACAGAAATCGACTTCAATCGAATAAAGTGCAGGCACACTTTTTGGAGAAAAGAAAGGCGAGAGAGAGAGAGAGAAAACGAGTCCAGAAGCGATGACTTTGATAGATCACGCGCAATCTTGGAAGGAAATATATTTTCGTGTTGGTAGGCGAAAAATATCTTACTTGTATATATGCCTCGATGTATCTTTCGAATACACATTCTAAACATTTTGAAAAGTTTCAAAATGAGACTTTAATTAATTCGTCGAACTGTTTCGCGGTTATGAGGTTTAGTTGCGACCTAAATCGTTGGCAAGCTATTATTCAACGATATTGGATCTCGAACAATTGACTCTGGTTTATGCTATTCTATCATGCAGTTCCATTATCTATTACTCTAGTTATTGCAGTTCCACTAATTATTTCTTATTTAGTAAGAAGTAATTAAATGAATATAGGAATGATAATTTTTATCATTATTCTAATGTTTAATATTTTTTACATCATTTAATTAAATGAGTTCGATATTTTTTTTTTTTTTGAAAAAAAATTTTAAATTTAAAATTTTTTTTCAAAAAAAAAAAAAATCGAACTCATTTAATTAAATGAGTTCGATATTTTTTTTTTTTTGTAATAAAATTTTAAATTTGAATATACCCCGATATTCGGATATCAATACAAGAATTAAGTATTTTTATTATATCAATTTATTTCGATAATACATGTTGAAAATTGAACAAATTCTTAAATTAATTCTAATGCATATTATAGTTTTTCCTCAGAATTTATGCAATTCAAAAAGTTAGAAAAAAAAAATTAGAGAAATTTTTCAATCTTATTTATAATATCTTTCTCTATTTTATTATTGTTTCAAAACATATTTTTTCAATTCGTTTTTATAGTCAGGCACGCTATTATCTAGCATATTGTACTTATTTAGTATTTAGTAAATCTGATTCGAAAAGTTATTTTTTAGAAAATTATTTTTCAAACGATTAAAACTGTATCGAAATTCTGTTTTATATGCATAAATTTTTGAAGAATTTCAATGATTTTCTAATATTATTTCTTGAAAGAAAAAAGAAATCTATAAAATAGTCAATGTTA